GGCAGGAATAGGTCCAGATGCCGTGGACTGGGCCACAGGACACCACTGGCCTTTCTGAGCCTGAGCTCTGCCTACTTCCTAAACCCGGCTCATTTAATCAGAGACTGTGGCCTCACGGGCCTTAGAATGAAAAAGTGCCGCTCTGTCCAGGTTTTCTTTGGGCCTTTTATGCCATGGTTTGCGTAGTGAGAGGAAGGGGGCTCTGTGGGTGAGCCGCTGAGGAAACAGCCAGAGTGAAGCGTTCTCAGAGGGTCAGCCTGGCGCTGTTTCTCATTGTTTTTGCAGCATCTCTAAAAAGGCATCACTTTACAAAAAATAGCCATTGGTCTCCACGTGAGGTGAGATACTGCCGGGGAGAGCCTGGCCCACAGCGTAGAGCCAGAGGCCTGGAGGGTTTGGCGCAAGAGCTGAGCTGAGGGAGGTGACCTCTACAGCACCCTGCCCCTGCCAGCAAGCGCAGCTCCTGGATGTGTGGCTGCACAGGGTGCACTCTCTCTCATGGCACTTTTCTACACAGTCTCAAGAGAGAAGCTTTTTAGTCTGTATGCAGTAAAACCTGGCCCAGGGCCAGTTTACATGTTACTTTTGTTTGGGTTAGGGAGAGTGACTTTGGGGGTCAAATGACCAGAACGAACCCAGGTAGATGAGGACTTAATTGGCATTAAGTCCAAACTTTCATACCTCATCCCACAATGGTCCCTTTAAGGATCTGTCCTCTCAGACATTTACAGGCCAGTCAAAGGTGGCTGACTGGTCAGCTCAGTTGGTCAGAGCATGGTGCTGATAACACCAAGGTCCTGTGTCCGATCCCGGTACCAGCCAGTCGGGGTCAGATGGAGAATCCCCAGAAACCAGAGTCAGGAGGCCTGATGGCACTTCAGGTCACATCTTTCCTCTGACCTGGGCCTCTGTGACACCCATGGTCCTGTCTTGCTATCAGAGTCTCCGATCTCATTGTCCATGAGGGTAGGGACATGGACACATTCCTTTTTTTGTAAATTGTTCTTATACCAAAATATTTTCCTGTACATTCAGGTGAAACAGGCTTAATTCTGTTAGCTTAGCATAATAAATTAAAATCAAACTCGGAATAAGAGCTTAAGTGTTTTATCACTTAATTTTGAAATGAAATCGCTGGCAGGAATAAAACGGCAACTCTGCTGAAAACGGAACAGCTTATTAACTTCTTAGATTCAAGAACCATCACTGTTCCTGCAACAGGCTTCCTCCCTGCGGGGCTAATAGGACATGTGCAGACTCTGCTGGGGAAATCTTTTGCCTGATATTCTTAAAGACCTTAATTGCCAACTGTCCCATTTCTGGTGCACAGACCAGCGGTTACCAGGAGTTGCTGAGGACAGTTGGGGACGTGAGTGAGCCCTTCTCAGCAGGTACTCTCCATCTCCTGGGGCTGGGCTTGCCCGTTCCTCCCATGAAAAGTAATCCGAAGGATGCAGGAAAATAGCGCTTTCTTCCTAAAGAGTAGGCAGATGGGGCAGCAGGATCAGTGTGCATTTGGTGTGGATGACAGTTTGGAAGGGTGGATCGTCCACACTTAAAGACATGCCTCAGACTGTGCTCTTCAGTTGAGCTGGGCAGCCGGCTTCCCCTGGGGAGTGGCCTGGATTCTCCGATGGAGGCCTAGGGCTTTCTTTCCCGTAGTCCTCTCACACCACCTGACCATCTTTAGACTATAGCACAGGCTTATGGAAATAAGGTGACTTTTTACATTTAATTTTCTTTCGAACGACAATTTCCCCCCAGTGCCTTCATTTGTCATGACAAAGCGATTCCATCTCCAGGAAGTGAATGGACATTGAGGTCAATATCCTGCTGGCCTGTGACAAGGCCAGAGGGGCCACGCCCGCATGTTGGGTTCTGAGTACTGGGTGCTGCCCCTTCCCCGCTTACCTGAGGAGTGTAAGTACTGTGTCACCCTCTCCTCACACCCTTCCAGGAATGTGACAGACCCGCATGTGCACAGGGGTACCCAGTACACTCTGGAGCTTGCGCCACAGGGTCCTCTGTGGGGTGGCCAGGTTCAGAGCATGAGGGTTGGGGGCCCAGCCCATCTCATCTTTCCTACCTTCCTGCCAGCTTCTCCTAGACGATTCGTCCCTCCGCCGGGCTGTGATAGATAGAGGGCTCCAGTAGGCCCTTGACTGAGTCCCTGAGGTCCTCTTGGAAGTTTTTCACCTGTGGCCGGGCTGGGGCTCCTCCACTCAGTGCCTGAGGGTAGGGACCCCTGGGTTTTAAACGCAAGAGTATATTTGCCACACAGTGAACCATTCTGAAGTAATCGTTAACCAGGGTTGACATCGAAAGTGCCAATCCCATTAACCGGATGCCCCATTCCATTATGTGGGAATGGACTACAGGAGTTGGAAGGAGGGGGTGGGTAGGTTTGAGGGTGCTTGACTAGATGACCTTCGAGGTCTCTGTAGTGGGGACTAGGACTCTAGCTAACAAAACTGGAGATTGAGCGAGCATTTATCGTGCTAGGAGAGGGTCCTCCTGCAGCTCAGGGATTGGGTGACTTTTCAGGGCGGGGAGATGGTCAGCCAGCAGACACAGGGTGTCCCTACCAACATCAGGACCTGAGGAGCCTGGGGCCCGTGCCACCTCATTCGGCACCCTTCTCTCTCTAGGGACTGCAAGGAAAGGGGTCAAGTCCTCCAGAGCCATCATACTCAGAACGGGAGAAAGGCCGAGGCAGGGGAGGGGCTGAGCGGGGAAGGCCAGACATTCAGTGTCCAGCACAGCAGTCACGAGCCACTTGTGGCCCCTAAAAACAAAGGGCCTGTCTACGTCAACATGTGCTGTACGTGTCAACTACACAGCATACCTCAAAGGCTTCATACCAAAAAAGTCATTAATTTTATTTTGATTACATGTTGAAATAATATGGAATATATTTGGTTAAATAAAATACAAAAATCAATTCCACCTGTTTGTTAAACTGTTCAGTGTGCTACTGGGAAACTAAATTTCCGCACATGGCTCACGTCTAGAGATACCGCCTTTCCTACTGGGGCGGGGACTGCTGCCTCGGGGTCTGTAACCGAGTCACCTCCACCTGAGCTGCGGGAGGAGGAGGAAGACACTGTGGGTTACGAGAGGCCTTGTGAAGTGGCTAAAGTGGCTGCCCGGTGAGTGGGTGGCCTCTCTGTCCCCAGGCTGGATCACAGCTCTCCCCCCTGTGCAGGGAGCACTTCTGTCTCGTGGGGTGGGGTGGGGGTAGGTGCTCTGCATTTTGTAGATCTGCCAGTGTTCCCGGACCTCACGTAGCTCGTGGAAATCACTTTCTTCCACCTAAATCACTAGTTCTTCTTAGCCGTGTCCTCGCTCCAGGCTGTCTGCGGGAGACACAGCGTCGGGCTTGCCGGGCTTCGCTCCGCGGCTTGCGGGAGGCTGGTAGGAGGGAGGAGCCGGTGCAGCCGTCTCCTCACCTGGCCTAGCTCCCTCCATCCCCAGCTGCACCGCCACCGCCACCGCCCCCGGGGCAGTGATAGCGCTGTCCCCTGCTGTGTGCGCTGCCCTCGGCCCAAGGTTGGGCGGGCCACAGCTGTCTAGATTTCCTCCACTGCTTTGATGGGGTAGGAGCGGGAAGCACGGGGCGTGTGTGGGCTCTTGGCTGCAGAAGTCACAACAGGGTTCTGTCCCTCTTCGGGGATCCGAGAGGAAAAGAGCTCCTATAGAGTCCGAGCAGGGTCTGCTGTTGCTTCCATTTGCTCTTTGCCTCCTTATCTTGTCTAGATTAACACATTTCAGTTTTGGGGTTAGAAACTGTAGGTAAAATGACTTGGAGCGGGACAGCTTGTCTCAGCTTCCCTCCAACAACGTGTAGGCGAAGCTGAAGGTCAATTTCAGATTGTCACCCTCATTTGAATCCACCGCAAGCTCAGTGTGAAAACGCGGCCCTGTTGGCTTACAGTGAAAGGCTCATCATTAGTAACATCTGTAAACAATACCAATCGATGGAAGCACTTTTTTAGGACAGTTTGTGTTCGTAGAGCTGAACGTTTGTAGCTTCAACGTTGCACTATTGTAATCTTAAAATTATTCTTAATAAACGAATGCCAAACTGTGATGTCACTACGTGCATCCCAATAAGAAGGGCAAAGAAACGCAGTGCTCTTTGCTGTGTAGGAGGTTAACCCCTCTCAGTCTATGAAGCCCCCCTGACTGCCGGGTGCAGGTCAGGGCCTCCCGCCCGCCCCTGCCACCCCCACCCCAGCAGGAGCCGCCCTGAAGGGCAGGGACTACCTGTTCTCCCTGGCGCTCAGCTCCCACTCCACCTCCCATCCATGTGGCCTAATGGCAGGGCTGTGCTTTGTCCTGGGCCTCCCCACCCCGTGGCCTGGATCCTCCTTTTTCTACCCACTGGGCCCTGTCCACTGGAGGTCAGCTAAAGCAGAGGAGTGCCACCGTTACACCACTGTCACACTGCCCACCGAGGAAGCAAGAAGCCCCTGGGAAAAAATGCCTTATAAAAAAAGTGCCACTACACTCCATCCTTGGCTCTGAGGGCTGGATGTTCATCCAGAACTGCAGCACCGTGGGCCTCTCCAGAGGAGCTCGTATCAGAGCTGGGGGGACCCTGTCCTCTGCCCTGAGTTGCAGCCCTGGCTGAAGGTTCTGGATGCCCCTTCCCTGCACCTGCACCTGTGGGCCAGTGAAGTCCCACAGAACCCAGTCTCCTCAGGCCCTGAGAGACCACTTTCTCCCCATAAGGCCGAGACCAACCCTGGCCCCCTTTCTCTTGTATGGTGTTGAGGCCCAAAGAATTACACCCAGTCAGGGTTCTGATTAGTTAGCAATAGAATGCAGTGATCTGGATAGGAATCAAATAGATGGAATGGAGGATCTGTGCAAACACTGGCTTCCATACCAACGGAAACTAATTTTGATCACGTGAAACTGCTGGAAAAGGGTGCGCACTGTGACTTTCTTTGCTGCCCGGTGTTTTGCTGGATTAATGTAAACTGCTTTGTTTGCAGGGCTTATTGTCATCCCCAAACCAGGCCAATTCTCCAGGTGGAACTGTAGTGTAGCGACCCCACCACTGCTTGCAAATTCTCCCCCGGACATGGACTTGAGGCAGTGACGACGACAGAACCATGTGTCACGCTGGAGCCACGTGCTGGCAGCGACCTCAGGCGGGTGGACTTCGGCAGAGGGCTGTGGTTGGGCAGCCGCTCGTTCTCAGCGTGTTCTCCGCTGCTCACCCAAAGAAGTTGCTTCCATTTCAAACCAGTCTTTTGGGGCTGCAGTAAAAAATAAGAAATGGAGTTTTCTTGCTTTTTACTCTAAAATTCGATGTAATTAAATCATTATATATATGTATATATATATATATAAACTATACTTGCTTTTTACTCTAAAATTCGATGTAATTAAATCATTATATATATGTATATATATATATAAACTACATATATACATAGTGTAAAATAAAATGTTTTTTGGACAGGAAACGCCCTTCAACCCACCTGTTATAAATAGTACTTCGCTCTTTGTTTTTGCACTGATTTTTTTATACTTCAGATGGTCAGAAGACAACGTGGAATGCACTCCTGAAAAAAGTCGTTACTTTCTGACTTAAATACGTAATTCAGGAAGACAGATGCTGCAGTCATATTTTTAAAAATTTAAAAAATTGTTTGCACTTAAAATAGTTTAATACTGATAGGAAACTACTTTGAATGTGGGGGTAATGGACTCGCAGCCTCCAGGGTGTGGAGCAGAGATGCTCTTTTTATTTGTTAACATTTATTTTAATACTGTTGTTTCCAATGCAATCAACTCTGTTATATGTATGAATAATGTAATTCTGCAATGGGGGAAATAGTTACTGCACTAGTAATTTTCATCATTTAAGAGTGATATTTCTAACTCAAAAAAACATTAATATTAAACTATCTTGAATATACTATTTGTTTATCTTCCATTAAGTTGGCTCGATTTTTAATGTAATTTTTTGCGGACTTAATTGGTTGGTATGGAATTATTCTGTCCTTTCTACACCACGTTTCTTGAAGGCCTCCCCCTCAGTCACAGTCAGATTTAGGACGGGCTGGTCAAGAACGGGACTCACTTGGGCACTTGTGCAGTCCTCTGGCCTCTTCTCGCTGTCTCACCCCGTCTGCGGCCAGTGTGGGCAGCTGCCTGTGTGTACAGAGACTACGGTCTCTGTGAATCATTTTTTTCTTATGGCTTAGAGCTCATCTTTTGTCGTTAAGCCTGTGGCCACACACTGCACGGTGTCTTGGGTGAGCGTGAACGCACGTCAGTAACCGCACCGTGACATGAAACAGCCGGCAAAGCATCATATGGGATTCTCATTTGGTTGAAACCAGCTCCTGCGCGACTCCGAGCCCAGGTCATCCTGCACTACTTGTAGGCTCTCTAGTTTACTGGGATCGTAACAGAATATGGGGCTGCCAAGCAGAACATTTCTCGTTTAAAAAAAAAATCATATATAATGATCCTTTGAAAGGCTTTATTTGGTGAGACTCTAAACCATGAAGTGTCTGAAAGACATTTCTTAAAGTGGTCACGTTAAATTTGGGGCGTGTCTAGGTAATTTCAGGCTTTGGAGAGGCGTCCTACACTATCGTCACTTATGTGATAGGCAGCCACAGGATGATGTTACTGTTTCAGGAAAGTTCGCATCAGCCCAGGCCTTGGTTTAGTTCATCTGGATGGAGAGATGAGTCACAGCTCAAGTTCTTTTTTTTTTTTTTTGTCTTTTTGTCTTTTTCCGTGTCCGGAAACGGATCACAACCCTCAGTGTTGCCCCCATACGGGACCGGGGACCGGCAACGGGATCGCAACCCTTGGCGTTGCTCCCGCGCCTCGCTCAGCCAGTGAGCGGGAACCGGTCTGTATGTGGGATCCGAACCCTCGGGTGGGAGCGCCGCCGCGCTTCCCAAGCGGCGCACTATCCAGTGTGCCACCGGGCCGGCCCACAGCTCAAGTTTTTAGGCCCTGCTACCTCCAGTCTGGGAGGCCAGCCCCACTGGCAAGCTCCCACCTGATGGGGATGTGCCCTCTGGTGTGAGCCTTCCAGAAAAGGAGAGAATACAAAATACTGAGACTCGTTATGTTTTAAATGAAAGAATCAGTTTATAAGTCATACGCCTACAGAATGACCTTTGTATTAAAACCAGATGATAACACATTTTAGGTAGTTTGGTATTTCTGTTGTTTTAAAGCACTGGTTTCTAGGTGCTGTCAGTTACACAGAACACCGGACTCCTGAATGTCCAAAATACTTACAAGTAAACCACGGGTATTTTTGGAAATCAGAAGGAACCAGAATTTTTAATCTAGTGATCCTGCTGGTCATCTCCTAATTCTGTTTCCTGTTTGTAAGAGGGAACAGGCGGAAATCTGATTGACACCAGGGCAACAACTATGTGTGTTAAAGCGCAGTAGCCCAGACTCTGTCACCCTTGCTAGGTTCTGGGACGCAGTTTGCACTAGGCCATGGCCGTACTGAGGCTGTGAGATGTGTCTCAGTTCACTGTAGATGCGTCTGTGCCAGGAACAAATCTGGACAAGTGGTCCAAGATGGCTTCCAAAAATCTCACTGCCTTGTAACTGTCCCCTTCACCATCGGCAGTCAGTAGGCCCTGGACAGATGGCACCTCACTCAGGAGCCATGGGAGGAGGCGGAAGTCTGTGCAGCTCACCCGGTAGGATCTGTATCTGCTTTCCTTACTTCTTGCCTTGGGCTTTCTTACACTTTTGGAGCTGGTGGATGTGTGCTGCACGCGTGGGGATTGGGCCTAGGGAAGCCAGGAGGCGGCACGCGATGCAGGGCATGTTGTTCAGCATAGTGCACCTGTGGCGCGCTTGCTGTGTTGCAGGTGTAACCTGACAAGGGCAAACCCAGGTACATCTTCACCACCTGGAGGCAGCAGAGGAGATGGCGGAGATCAGGGTTATAACACAGGACACCGTCAGCACTGGAATCCCTGCACTGAGATGTCTGTCCCAGACCACCACCCGCAGCCCCCGCCTCGGCATGGACACAGGCAGGCTCCGTGTGCGCTTCTGCCCTCTCTAAGATCAGCAGGGCACAGGGCGGAAGAGGGCGGATTAGCACAAGAAGGGGAGAGAGCACGGCCTGGTATTTCGCAGGTGCTCAGCAAGGGTTTGTGGTATGGACATAGGTTAATGGGGTGGTGGTGGAAGAGGGGTGAGCCGTCATCCTCATGCCCATTCTGGAATTCTGTGATGATAACTCAAGTACTTCAGGAGCCATTTAACAGCGTTGCACAGAAGAATTTGACCTGACAGCAGCATTCAGCACCTTTCCCTTGTGGGAGTGGGCAGCGACCCCGCCAGGGCTCTGGCAGCAGGGTGGGGCTGCCTCCTGTGGTCGGGAGCGGCTTGGCCCCTGTCCTCAGCCCTGGCCAGCACTGCCGCCAGGCAGAGAACAGTACAGCCATATAAGCTGCCATGTAAGTGCAGGAAGCCCAAGGGGGCCAGCAGGACTTTCCTTCTCTCCAGATCCGTAGGAAGTTGGATTTGCCCTATTGAAGCTGATGCTGGAGTCCTGGTGTGTGCAGAGAACGTCCTTCCATGGAGGCAGGCGCCACGAACTTGAGCCTTGGGCCAGATGTGCCCACTGCAGGGCCTGGTGGAGCTGGCTGTGTTCTCCAGCCCTGGGCCCTGGCATGCCAGAGACCAGCATGAAGCCAAGAGGGCCTTGCGTGGTCATGTCGTCCTTGGGGCCTGGGCTGCCTCCAGGCCCATGCCTGCCACTCCCTCCTCAGGCCTCTGTCTCACTGGCCCTGCCTGCAGCAGGGCTGGCAGGACTGTCCCACATGGTCCCTCTCTACTGTGAACCCGTCTCAGCTCCCACTGTCACTCCCAACTCCTAACCCCTCTGCAGAGGCATAATGGTACCCACCCTCCCTGCTCAGACACCTTCTGCCATGAGGGGGGCAGGCCTGAAGGCACCCAGGGTCTCAAATGAATTTAAAAGGAAGTTCATCCCAACCGCTCCCCGCATGCACCCAGCTCTGAAAGTCACCATAAGCCTCATTTCTGGTCTTGAATCTGCCCTTCCTGGGCTCCTTTGCCCCACATGGCCCCCTGCTCCTGGTCCCTGTCCTCTCCCCAGCCACTGTAAAGCGCTGGCTCCAGCCTGCCCCTTGCATGGCCCCAGGTTCACCCTCCTACAGCCCAGCTGTCCTTTCGCTCCTGGCTTTGCCTCACCACGGTCAGGTGGCCTGAGGCGGGGCCGCTGGAGAGCATGTGGAAGGACAGGTGTTACAGATTGTCTCAACAGAGGGAATAAGCAGACTAAACACTAACCTGGGAAATTTAGCTTTTCTTTGATGATGTAAGTTTGGGAAGATGAGACTAAAGAAGGAACACTCAATTACCAGGTTACATTCCAAGACAAAGGGGCTGAGTAGGATCTTTCTCCGACTCTGAGCCCTGGCCGGTGCTCTGCACTGGACCCCATCCAATACCATGTTTCTCTGTGCCCTCCCATCCTGCCCCATGAGGAAACAGTCTGTAGGGTACAAGGTGCCCAACTTATTGTTGGCACTCAAGAAACAAAGCTCAGAACACCCGCTGGCAATCAGAAGGCAGTGTCCTGTATTCGCAGGAGAAAGCTGCACACCAGGAGCTAAGACCATGTGGCCCCCGCAAAGCCTGGTGCTCAGAAAGCATACCCCAGGCCTGCCTGCCCACATGCTGCAGTGCCGCCTTGCCAGCTGTGGCTCGCTGGGGAGCAGTGAGGCCTCCAAACACAAGCCTGCCTTAACTCCTTAATGGTCTTCCAGATGAGACAAAATTAAGCCACACCAAAGTCATCTCAACAAAATCAATTACCCCTATAAGCTCACAAACTCTAAAGTAATGGATAGTAAGGACACATGTTTAATCAAGAACATTATTAAAATGAAATATTGCAATGTCAACGTATTCTTTAATAGGAATCAGCAGTCTCCAATAGCGTATTTGGTGAGATGTGACATACTACAACACTCGGAACGTCCCACAATACTCCTGGAAATGTACAGAAGAGACGTAACATGCAGAGCTTGCATTTCAACCAAGCCTAGATAACACATAATAGGAATTATAGTTTATCTGTTTTGATTCATACAAAAAGTTACAAAATATTCCCTCCCAAAATTCTTACATTATAATGAAATAAAACCCTAGAATGAGGTGGTTTTACAACTGTATTAGGTTGGAACATATAGTGCAGCTGCTGTGGGGATGTGAAGACACGAGGCCACCGCCAGCTCTAGCCTGAGTGGCACAGGTGGGTCCACGGGCAGCATCTCAGGGCTGCCAGGCCTCGCGTGGCGCCGGTGGCCTCCTGAACCCTCCGTCCGCGTCTCAGAGGCACGGGCAGCTTCAGCTGGACCTCACCCCAGCGCACCTGGTTTTACTCTGCAAGGTGAGGGGCACACGCTGCTCAGTATCTGCCCCCTTTCCTTTCTATTGTGGGCAAGCGACACTGTTTCAGGTTCGGCTTAATGTCCTTCTGCATATCTGTCTGTTAAAGAAAAACGACAGACACTCAGTTGAGGCCTGGGGCGGGTCCAGCGCCCTCAGGGCAGCTAGAGACATGCTACCTTCTGGTCCACGCCAGCGCACTTCCAGGCTCTCAACACCGGGACTCTCCCATTTGCTGAAGACCCAAACACTGATTGCAGCTCGGGGCTGGAGTACGATGACAGTTTGGTCACTCCTGAAAGCTTCAGTTTGGGCAGTTCCATGAGGTACGCTGCTCCTTGTCTCCTGGGATGGTCCTCCTCTTGCTTTTGGGACTGTTTCTTGAAACAGAACAAAAGTCATTGAATATACAGTGGCTTCCCCTTTACAGAAATTAGGAAAAACAGAAGAGGCTCTTTTGTACCACTCTTCCTGATAAATTTCTTGCCCGTGAGATGTGACCACCTACCGTGACTAGACAATGTACACCCTGTCTCAGACACCCAAAAGTGAGGTGACTGCTCACTAGAGTCCCACAGGAGAGGCCAGAGCTCATCCCCAGGACCCCCGAGGGATCTGCACTCTTCGACTCTGCCTGTTACCACATCAGTCACTGTCCTGTGCCGAGTCCCACTCTCTGCGTGGCCGCTCCAGTCAGTACCTGGGCTGCAGCGGGGGAGATAAGGAATGACCGAGGGCCTGTGATGTGACAGGTGAGTGTGGGTCCTTAAAGGGCTTGCAGGCCATCACCGCCGCTGCCTCCTGCTCTCTGCCCTAACTTTCAGGTCTCATGCCTAAATGTGTGCACTGCCTGCTTTTGTTAATGACTTGTGAGCTAAGAACAGTTTTTAACATTTCTTAATAGTTGAAAAAAAAATATTTCATGGTATGTGAAATTCAAATCTCTGTGTCCAAAGTTCAATGGGAACAGAGCCCCGCAGCTGTTACCGTCACAGTGAAGGGCTGGGCGGCTGCGACAGCCACCTCATGGCCTGCAGAGCCTGGAGTGCTGCTTGTCTGGCCCTTACAGAAGAGAAGGCCCACCTGCGACGTGACTGAAGGAGGGGACTTCGGTGGGTGTCAGCAAGAAATGAGACCAACTGCAAACGTTCAAGGAGGACCCTCTGCCCAGGAAGGAGGGGGAGGCGGAGCAGGGACAGCAGTTAGGAGGCCATCCATAGTGACCAGCAAGAGGAGGAGGGTGGGGGAGGTGAGAAGCCCACTGCAGGAGGAGACAGAGGGGAGCCCAGCATGTGGGGACCGACCGGCTGGGGGGCGCGGCCTCTGCCCTGGGAAAGGCACGGGGAGGAGCGGGGAGGTCAGGAGACGGGGTTTGAACAGGGTGCTTTCTAGACATTCGAGTGCAGTAGTCAAGGTGGACGTGGGAGTCTAGACGGGGAAGCAACCTGGCTGTTGCTGTGTCTGTCCTCAGCTCCTGGCATGTAGTGAGCACTCACTAAGTGCTGGCCTGAATGAGTGATGCACGGATGGCTGAAAAAATGAATGACGGGCACTTGCTCACCCAGCATCTGGTGCTAGCCCAGAACTGCAAAACTGGTGGGGCTAAGCAAGTGGGTGCCACGTGGTGGCATCATGTTAGGACACAACATGGCAGGTGAAAAGGAAGGTAAAGATACTGCAGCATGAAGCCGTCATTTCTAAACCCAAAAGCACGCAAACACTCTGCTGACGGGATGGGCACACATTGGACCGCTGTGCTCATGGGGCATGCTGCTGAGTGGAGGCAGCGTGGCCTGTCCAGGGTTTGGGACCTGTCACGGGCTGGGTGAGTAACTCTGGCCAGTGCTGCAGCTTCTCTGTGCCCTCTGCAAGGGTCGATTGGAGGGCACAATGAGATGGTGTCTGCACAGTGCTTTGGCACAGAACCTGGCACCTGCATGTGGTCATCAGGACAGACACAGAAACTCGTTTCAAGGTCCCCTCTTGGACCTGTTCACATGGGATGTTAGTCATCAATCCTTAGCTAGTGTGGCAGAAAGGGCTTGAGCAATTAGAACCAGGGTCCCTAACATTCTAACACATGGAGACATTAACGGGCACGGTGTTCAGGCCAGTTAAATGGTTACAAGGTGCCGTTTTGGGACAGATGTGACAGCCTGGTCTGCCACAGCCCTCCACAGAGGACCTCCTCCTTAGAGAGACACAGCAGCGCCCAGTCCCCGCTAAGCTGGGCTACTTCCAGCTCATCGACTTCACTGAGTACCTGTTTTCTGCCCTCCTTTGGAATTTGCCAGTTGTTACCAAGTGATGCCAGTGCCACAGGGTGCTCTGGAAAGAAAGCCTTTCTGTGGCTGGCCAGAGCCTGCTTCTCAATTGCCCTACAGGGAAGAAACAGAGAACAGAGGCCACCACTGAGAACCTGCGGAGCACAGCTGCTCGTTCGCTTTCTGTCTCCACATTTGTCCATTACATGAGTTGTCACTAGCTCTTCTTTTCCACATGAGCTATTTGAGGAACGGTTTTTTTCTTTTCTGTCTTAGCCTGACAGTCTCTGGGCTGGGAGCAGAGCAGGCTCCATGAACCATGGACATCATCCTGCCATAGGCCTGCACCACCCACCCAGGGACTCGTGGTTTGGGGTCAAACTGTCACGTCCAGTTACACAGGAGCGTACAGAGGCATGAAGTAGACGCCTCTTACACTCTCGTTCAGCAGGTACTTCCAGTGCCTGGTAACATCCACCATGCTCTCAAATCACACAGTAAGCTTACGCTGGGTGCACACCAGGCTCTTCCAGACGTCTCACTAACTGGAACCTCGGCATCAACCATGAAGCAGCCAGAGAGCCCTCCTTATCCCTGCCATGCAGCTGCTAACAGCCTCATATGGGGAAAGATATACCAGAAGACAGCACAGTGGGGGCTCCAAGAGGCACCGACCACTGTTCAGGATAGAGAGAGCTATTCTCAGGAACCAGGGGATCTTCCAGAGGCCGGTCCTTTGCTCCACCACATGCCCCACGGGTCTCATTAGCCAGGCCCTGCCATCCGTCACATGGAGTCCACCAGAGAGCCTACCTCTGTTCTTGGAAGTAGGGATGCTGCAGAGCCTGGTGGGCAGCAATTCTGTCATCGGGATCATAGGCCACCATTGCATGCAGGAGGGAGAGGCATTGTGGGGACAAATTGGTTGTCAGTAGAGGTATTCCTGATCCCTTTTTAAAAGGAAAATCAAAACTCATAGCTCTCGACCTGTATTAAAAGCCCAATGATAATAAACAATCACGCCATTATTACAGTATGTGGCTGAGCCATCATCACGACCCTAAAGGACCTGCACTGAAGGTAACAGTTTACAATCTGCAGAAGGAGCGTGATTCTGCACTTGTCCAAACCCACAGAATGCACAACACCGAGTGTGGCCCCTAATGTAAGTGACAGGCTCTGGGTGGTGATGATGTGCCAGTGCAGGTTCATCAGTTGTAACGAATGGACCGTCTAGTGAGGATGTTAACAGTGGGGGAGGCTGTGCGTGTTGGGGAGCAGGGGACAGTCAGATCTCTGTACTTTCCACTCCATTTTGCTGTGAACCTAAAACTAAAAATTAAAGTCTATTTAAAGGCGGGGGGGAGGTGTGAAATCTGTTATGCTATAAATGTAAGAAAACTACCTTTCCTATAAAAGATTAGTATCACCTTCCCACAAGAAGAACGACATGAAGGAAAAAAAAGAAAGAATCCAAAATAGCTGTCCTCTTGTCACCTTCCTAGTCGCTGAGAGCTGCCGGGTGCAGCTCTCTGCCCTCGGCCCACAGCCCTCCCAGGCCCCTTAGCTCCCTGGCCTCAGCTTCATCTTCAATCAGAACAAAATCTGAATGAGCCTGTGGGTGCCTCGTCTGGGTGTCAGTGCTAGTGGCAACACCGCATGACGGCCACAGCAAATCCCCACCAGGTACAGTCTGTGCTTGGGGAACGTTTCTCACCCAAAGGTTTCTAAGCCTGTGTAAATACTCGGGGGACAAAACCTGGCTCTCAGGCCCTCAGAAAGACTGTGAGGAATCTTCTGTGATGTTCGGGGAAGACTGCACCTTTGTGAATCCCCCAGGGTGACGGGCTCTGTCCGAGCAGCCACCGCACTGGTGTCCAAATGAGCCTGCAGCCCTGCCCTGTTAGTGGCAGCAGGAGCCCGCGCGAGGGAGGGCCGAGAGCATCGCGCAGACAGCCCATCTCCGCCGCTGTCCGGGCCCGCTGCAGCTCTCAGGGCGCACCCCACTCACTGCTTGAACTTGGTGAGGGTCTTCTGAGCAGGCGTGCCGATGACATCGTGGATTTTTGAGATCTGGTCCAGTTCGTTGGCTCCAGGGAAGAGGGGCTGCAGACTGAAGGGCACAACAGGGCGCTATGGTCAGGACAGGGCAAGGGCTCCTCTTCCTGGCTGGGTCTCGGTCTGCCAGCCCTGGGGGCACACAATCCTCACCCACACAGTGACCCTCATGGCTTGGAGAGTTCCACCGTCCCTTTTGCTTGGGCCTTTCTGCTTCTACTTTACCAAGAGGTCCGAACATGTTTTCTAAGAGGCAAGAGGCAGAGCCGCAATTCCTCTCTGTACACACTAGTCACTGCAGTGAGATGTGAATACTCACACTAACTGAGAGAGACAACCACTACAACGAGCCTCCCGTGGGCCCACGTGAAGTTTATTGACAAATGCAGGGCAGGGCAGAACAGATTTGTGGACAAATGAGTTCCAAGAAACCTTTTGGTTTTCAGAGCTTTTATAGATTTTGGAATTGTGGGTAAAAGATTTTGTACTTGTATAAATAAATTCAATTAATATTACATGCTACAAAGAAGAGTTTAAAACTATAGCTCTGGAAGTAGGACTCGCTTCTATTCAAGAAAACTGTACTACCTGTGACTAAAAGAGACAAGAGGAAAATGTGGGTGAGCAGGACACAGCTCTGAAGTGGAGACGACCAGGACGCCTTGGCCAGGCACAGGTTCATAACCAGCTCAGAGGACGCTGCCTAACGTTCCAGTCAGATGCCATTAGCTGCCGTGTTCTTGACATCTAAGTCCTTTAACATCCTTCCAAATTAATTCAAGGGATTTTAGCATATGAAAAAGGATAATCTGTTGGCACTTTTAGCTTCAATGAAATCACCACTCAGCTTTCCAAACTAATTATTGATACAAATGATCTAGAATCAAAGGAGGGTGTGTCTTGAAGTGTACATCTGTTCATATTTTTGTAGTGGTCAGGTGAGCAGGTGGGACTGGACAACCCCCAGGTCCCTGCCTACACTAGGCTGTACTGTTCTAACGTGTGTCCCCAGATGTAACATTCACCAACACCCGCCTTGAAGATCCACCATGAGAAAGAGGGTGCCGCCCTACCCATAGGCTTCTTTCACTCAACACCCTACTCACCTCTGAGTGGGACAAAGCCTTATTATCCCTTCTTCCCCAGGCCACTGCTCCTTCTAGCACCAAAGCTCAAAGGCTAGGGAGAAAGGGGGTTTTGGAGGCCAGGGATGGAATGGTTGGGATTGAGGTTTTGTAGAGTCCACTGTGCCAGAAGGTGCCTCATCCTCACACCTGTGGGCAGAGCACCCTGCCTGAGACAACTACCTCGCAGAGCAGGCCCCTGCCCGCTCACTCACACCTCCCCATGGCAGCCCCCAGAGGTGGCAATAAGCATGCTCCTGCTCTGCTCCAGAACACTCCATCAGCCCTTTCATTATCAAGCCCAATGAAGATGCCCTCTGGTACAGGGATGGGATGTGCCAGGAAAGAGCAGGAACTGACAGCGTTTGTTCTCCATGAAAAATTAAAATGAAAGCCTAGAAAATTTTGATAAATTAAAGAATAGTTAAAAAAAAAAAAAACAAAAAAACTCCAAAACCCAACCAGGATTACTGCAAAATCTGGGTCATAAAGGAAGGAGCTGGCAGGAAGCCATTGACCTACTACCCCGTCTGCATTGGGACTCGGTGGAGTGGCCTCAGCGCTACCTGGCGATCTCGTAGAACACACAGCCAGCGCTCCACAGGTCCATCTTGTACGTGTAGAAGCCGTCAGTGAGGAGACACTCGGGGGCCCGGTACCAGCGGGTAGAGATGTATTCTGTGTAGGGCTGCTTCGAATAGGAGCTCCGGCAGGACCCAAAGTCCCCTAATTTCAGGACATCTTGCTGGAAGGGGGAGAAAAACAGGGACAAATAACATCTCATCATGCAGCTATTGTAATACCAAATATTTATAATATCAAATATTTATGCACCAGCAGGAAAACTAAACTAGCACCTAAACTAGCTTGTAAAATACAAAGTACTGGCTTTATAAGCACCTGAAAGTGACTGTAACAGATGAGAAAGTGGTGTTTCTATTCAGTGGAACATGTTTACAAACATTCTGGCTATGTTTTACATGTATTTCCAAATGTCTATGGGTTTTGAAAGCTGTGAAGTCACAGTGTGCTTCTGCAAATGACTTATGTACACTAGTCGTATGTCTTGTGATGCCTCCAGCTTCCCACGGCCACCCAGCGCTGCGGGCAGCTTGGTGCTCAGCTCACCCACAGGGGCTCTTTTAGCCACATGGCTTCAGAGGACTCCACTGACAATGAGTCAAACAGTGCAGGGGAAACAGCAAATAGTACACTTAACACACGGGTAGTTGAGTTGGCTTTGGAGTGAGACAGACAGAGCTCAAATCCTGCCTCTACCATGTTGATATTTAGAGTGTTTAGAATGACAATCTGAAAGAAGTTAATTTTTGTCTGTAGTGTGAGAAGGGTACCTTCTATTATTTTCTTCTAGGTATGTTGGTAGGATTTATTAAATGAGCCATCTTTTCCAAACTGGGAGGGGAAAAATAAAAAACTATAACAAACATGCTATCCTGCTATCTGGGACTGAAAGCGTATCCAGCGAATAAGTTTTTATATTCTACCTTTATTCTGATACCAAGTTTTCATATAAAAGTTCTTACCTTTATTAGTATATTTTCTGGTTTTACGTCTCTGTGAAATATTCCATTTCTGCATTCAGTGTAAGAAGAAGAACAGAATTAATTACACACCATTGATTCAAATTCTTCAATTTGAATTGCATTTTTAACAGGTGTTAATATATTTTATTACTTTGAGAGCTGCCAAATTTCGAAGAGCATACCTGTGCATATGATCAAGGGATTTACATAACTGGTACATATAGTGCATAATTTTTTTTTCTGATAATGGGTGTCTTCTCCCTGAGCAATCAAGGAAATAGGCAAATATGGTTACAAATGGTACATACCTCCCTTCTTGAAATAAAAATTTTAATCCACTTTTACTTAATGATGTATGAAAATCTAAGTTCCTCTGTGAAAAACAATCTGAAGTCGTTTTAGGAAATACGGAGTGTACCTACAAAATATACCATTTAAAATTCTACATAGTAGCATGATTTCATTCCAAATCAAACAGGGTGGGCATTTTGATTTCAGCGGGAGCAATACTGAGTGACAATCACAAGAGTAAAGAGTCTGACAATCTTAACCGAGCCTCAGAGTGGGCCTCCCAGGACTCTCTCCTTCAAACTGTGTTGACTATGAAAACGTTGGGAGTCACTTGTGAATCCACCGTTTTCCTGAGCTTCCTGCTTATATGGAGATTTCCCTTTTAAGCAGGGATTGATCACACTTCAACATAAGTACTTTTTTCCAATCCCAGAAGACTGCTCTGAATTGCCCAGTCCCCGCTGTCTTTGTTCACAGAAGGAGATGATCCACGGCAGGACCCCTGTCCTCGCTGGCTGTGTGAGCCAGTGAGCTTTTTATTACGTTCCAAAACTCTTAATACTACACTTCCAACACCACAGTTTATCCTCATTACAGGATATGCCACATTTTACTTGATTTTCATTTCAAAGGTATGTGTGTTTAAGTAAAATCACCATGTTCACCTAATGGTTCAGCAATCCACTTTCTTCCTCCGTGAGTACTTACAGTCTCCCATCTAACACTTTTGATACTAAGTTTACAGTTTTTTTTTTTAAGGGTAGTTGGGGCAAACAATTTTTTTTAATGTAATTATATTATTTTTCACACTCCAGGATGTTGCTGTGGTGCAGTTGGGATGGAGGGGGAGAGGGGAAAGGGGAAGGAAATGGGATGGAAGAAAGAGGAAGGAGGATGGGTGGGATTGAGGCTTGAGGCACCCCCCTCATTCCTACATGGGAGACCAGGGGGCTTCCAGTGGTGGCCTGGTCATTGCCGGGCTGGGTGCAGATGTCAGGGGGTGCAGCAAAAGCCCTTGCCCCCCTCCATCCTAGCTTGGAAACCCAGGGCCTTTCTTGCTGTGGCTTGGTGGGCATGACAGGGCTGGCTGCACGTGTCAGGGGGGTGCAGCCGAGGCCCAAAGCCCCCCACTGCCCCGGCTCGGGAGAGCCCAGAGCACTTCCTACAGTGGCTCGGTGGTTGCCGCTGGGCTGGCTTTACAATTTCTTTTGAGAAATAAATTTATTCATTCTCTCTGAATAACTAAACAAGAATATTTATAATATGTATAATATGTTTATAATATGTAAATAGAAAGTAATTTAAATTATAAAATGTCTAAGTGCAATGTAATACTATAATCTTTTTATTGTTTCCCATAATTTATCATCAGTTTTCCAGAATTACAATAAAAAGAATTAAAATTAAGACTTTGTTAGCTTTCCCCATCTTGAGGAATTCTGGGATTTTATTAATTAATGTCTATATAAAGGTGAAAAGCAAGCAAAATGTTCATTCTCCTTCACTCGTGCTGCTGGAGGAAGCTTCCCGCAGTTCAGCTTTCGCCGGGCTGCAGCTCCTGTGATCAAACGCCAGGGCTCACTGCCCACTGGATGAGCTTGGCACTCAAGACCCCTGTCACCCAGCTCCCTCCCACCACAGGGGTTCTCAGAGGCCAGACGGAGCAGCTTGTGAAGACAGGAAGTTCCGACCCACCCCCACCCCCGCCCCACACTTCTGGTTCAGTAGGTCTGTGGGTCTGTGGCGGCCCCAGAACTGCCTTTCTAACAAGGGCCCGGTGCAGCTGCTAGTCCTGGGCCCTCACCTTGAGAATCATGCCCCACCACAACCCTCTTGTTTAGAATACACTCTAGCCAAATACCCTCACGGAGGTTTTCGGGGACATGAGGGGGAGAAGTGGCCGCCCCAGGTTCTAAAGTGGGCATCAGCGAGCGAACAGTGAACTAGCCATTCACAAAAGCAAATGGGTTGAACTTGAACAGTTAAACAAGAGAGCAGAGTCAGACACAACCTTGTAAAATAGTAGCTGCCTCTATAAGCAGGGATGCTTACACCCCAGTTCTTCCTTTATAATCCCAAGACAGCCTTTCCTACTGCAGATGGCATGAGCCCGGAGCCTTAAGTACAAGGCACCCAAATGAACAAACCAGGACTACTGATGATATAGTGGTTCTCTATTCACTGCAACTACTAACACTAATGAAGAACTCCAGTGAAATCCTCCCCAAGAGAGTGTGGCGGAGGGCCTTTACCAGCCCTGCCACAGGCTCCCCACCAACATTCTTGCCTCCATGGCACACACTAAAGACTGGCTTGCTCAGGACCCATCCCAACCCCTGTCTAGCACATCAGGCTTGAAAGCCCAAAGCAACCTTCTCCAGGTCACCTCACAGCTAGGGCTCCGGATGTGACTCAGTTCTGCCTAAATGGGACCACACAGGAAAGATGGTTCAGGCCCAAGTTGTGGGGGCAGCTGAGAAGAGGGAAAGCGTCCATTGTGAGGGCACAGCTTCCTGACTCTGCTAGAGGCAGTGTGACTCTGGAGCTGGTAGCTGTGGCAGCTTTACTTTGCAGTATCCTGTTTGTGGCAGAGGCAGCAGCCTCCTAGGCAGCCCAATCCTTAGTTTTTTTTTTGGTCTTTTTTCGTGTCCGGCAACGGATTGCAACCCTCAGTGTCGCGCCCGTACCAGACCGGGACCAGCAACGGGATTGCAACCCTCAGTGTTGCACCCGCACCTCGCTCAGCTAGTGAGCGGGAACCGGTCTGTATGTGGGATCTGAACCCTCGGCGGGAGCACCGCCGCGCTCCCAAGCGGCGCACTGTAGCAGTGCGCCACCGGGCCGGCCCAAATCCTTAGTTTTTGGAAGCTACGTCCTAGAAGCTAAGCCCAGCATCTGTTTCTTCAGTCCTCCCAATGATTCTGTCAAGCCACCCGTATCTCATAATAATCCCTTTTGGGTTAAATTAGTGAGAATAGATGCTATTGTCTGCAACTAAGAGGGACAACCAATACATCCACCTACAGACTATTTATTCTTTAAACAGTAACCAGAGAAGTCCTTCTAAAAAGATGCCACTAAAAGCACAGTCCATGTACTGATCACAGTCCAGGTGCTGCTTGTTACTGTCTAAGAGGGGACAAGATTGCTGTTACATCCAAACACATGATCATTTTTCTGGTAATTCATTTTTTTTGTATTTTATAAAACTTCTGTAATAGATTAGAAATAAAACAACTGGTTTTCCACTATAGTTTTAGAAACACTGGTCCAAACACCAATCAAAAGCTGCCTCTCCCCTGCTTTGAAACCCACCAGTGCTTCCCATTGAACTTAGAACAACTTGAATTCTTTCCCTGGACCAACCAGCTCACGGCTGCCTGCCTACCTTGTTTCCTACAAATCTCGTCCTGGTCCTCCAGCCACACTTGCTCTTCCCTCATGGTAGCCTTGTCCCTCATGGTGGCCTCAGGGCCTTTGCACTAGCTGTCCTTCTGCCTGGAATACTCTGTCCCCATCACATTGGCCTATTTTATTAACTCACAATATTTATCCATGTCTGAAATTCTTGATTGCTTCAACTGACAGTCTTATTTCTTTACTTGTGTACTATCTGTCTTTCCTCATCAGAGTGTAGGCTCCACACAGGTGGGAACTGTGTCTGTTGTGTTCCCCACTGTGTCCCTAACTCTGGAATAGCCCATGGCATATTCCGGTGAGTGAGACATCCTCTCCTGCATTTGTCTGTTTCTACCACTCCTCCAGGTAAGCCTGTACTTCTCTAGCCCTCAGTCATCTCAGCCTCATCTAACACCTGCTGGACAAAGAGAAAATTACCCAGCAGCTGATTTTCTCCAGTGAGTTCACTTTCATATCGTTTGTGTCTACAATAGACTACCTACCCTTTGACTATCAAAAGACGCATCTTACATGCTTCTTGACCTTCTTGGTTTTTGCCAGACCTTGCATACTGCTGTGCATATAAATAGACAACTCACTAAAGACTGTGTAATCATTCTCTTAGCTCACCATTATCTCATTCTTTAGTATTTAACAGTGCTACTCAATATTCTAATAACCTAAGAGAGTACTCATTTAAGTTACATGAATTGCTATTCTGGTAGCAAAAGTTTAGTAGTTGATTCAGTTTTCAATAAATCAGGGTCATCACCAAAAGCAAATAATTAGTAAGTGCCTATTCATTTCAGGCACTGAGCTAAGGACAGGAATAGACACTCAGGATAATGACAGAGCACTACAGTCAAGGTTTCAGAGTCAGACTTGAGTTTAAGTCCTGCCTCTGACACTTATTAACAGCTTAATTTTGGATTACTGCTTAATCCTTCAAGCCTCAATGTCCTCATCTGTAAAATGGGGATGATAACAACAGTGCCGACAGTGCCAACAGTGTCAAGAGGTATGTGTGGCAGTTAAGAACACGCACTCTGAAACTAAGTCCTGTCTAAGCTCAAACCCCACTCCTACCACTAACTAAGCACATAACCTTGGACAAGTTACTCATCTCTCTCTGTGCCTCAATTTCCTCAACTTTAAGCTGGGGATAATAGTAATATCTGCCTGATGGGGTTGTTGTGAGGTAATGTGAGTTAATCCCTATAAAGCATTAAGAGCAGTGTCTGGCATGTGGTTAGCATTCACGCTGTTAGCTACTATCATTATCACTATGTTACATCAATTCTAAGACAGACTTTTTCCCCACATCTTATCAACTCTGAAATCACGATGCATATTTCAATATTTAGTACCTTATAATCACCGTCAGCCTTTTTCCCCATGTTTTAACTTCGCTGTTTCTAGGATGTCCATATCGCTGACAGTATCTTAGATTAGTACACTGAGCTCAGCACCTGGCTTCAATATTCATGTAATGAATGAATGTCTATAGTACCTTATAATCACCGTCAGCCTTTTTCCCCATGTTTTAACTTCGCTGTTTCTAGGATGCCCATATCGCTGACAGTATCTTAGATTAGTACACTGAGCTCAGCACCTGGCTTCAATATTCATGTAATGAATGAATGTCTACTGATCCACAAAAGTCTATTTTCTACAATCTCTGTAGGTAGATACTGAAAGAAATTGACTCAATTTTTCCAATTCCCCTACTACTGGAAACTAAAGATATTTATTCCAGACAAAACTTTCTCAAATGTCTAAACATAAAGCAACTTGCTGGAAATTCTCCCCTCCCTTTGAGTTTTAAAATATCACACTCTAGGAAGCAACAGTAAGAATTCTAATATAAGATATACATCTTACACCGAGAAAATTGTTACTAAACAAAGAAAGTGATTAAGTAGGTTCTTTAAAAAGCAAAATGTTGGCTTACTGGTAAAAAGAATATCATAAATAAACTGATAAAACTTAGTGGTTGTTTCAGTTGGTTGTATTTGATACCCAATCCTCCTTTGTTAGATATATATAAATACACGCACAGAGAATCACAGTAAAGAATCTACAAAGGGACACCTCATTTACCCAGGCTATTTGGAATAAGGTGCTTAATAAGTAAAATTTCCAGATAAGTGAGATTTACTCCTTGATAAACCCCTTTTCTATCGTAACCATTTAAAAAAGAAATCTTAAAAACGTCTGATTCACTTTCCTACCTTAGAAATCAGTGTTTGCTGAAGTGGCACGGTCACCACCATCCTTGACGTGGCGGTGCTCTCTCTAACCTCTCTTGGGGAATCTGAAGGATCATGGCTCTTTGCTCAGACTGCTCTTTTTTTTTTTTGTTCTCATGCACATATTTTATATTTTCAGTCTCCACCCTCATTATTGGATTGTCACCTGCCACTTTCTGCTACTGCCAGTGTGCCAAGTTCTAGAAACTCCTATCTAACAGCTCTATTTTTAATGGTTTTAGGCCAAGAAACCAGATAACTAAGTCTGTTAGAAACATACTTAAAACAAGATTAGATTACTGACTGATAAGCTTACCTATGAACAAAATAGGTTTGTAACTTATAAGAAATATCATATATCCAGATATCAGGCAATCTCCTATTTTCCCAAAAAGATCCAAATATATATATATTTATACACACTATATATTCCCAGATACAAGGCAATCTCCTATTTTCCCAAAAAGACCCAAAAGTTTTTTTTACCAACTTGTATACATCAACTTCTACTATTTATTTTTTAGTAATTTACTATCACACACATATTTTAAATCACATAATAAAATATATTAACTTTGATATAATACCTTTTCCTACCTCTCCCACCATAAAAATAATTTTATTTGAACTGTTCATATATATCCAACACCATTTTCTTCTTCATCACAAATAGCTTCTCGATCTAAAAGTTTTCCATTGCACATCATCTTCAGTTTGGCCTAAATTGTTTGAGATAATACAGCAGCTGTCACTAAAATTCTATTCCAAATCATCAGCAGTCATTCATACGACATTAGGGCAGTTGATTTTTTTTTTCATCTGTCTTCTAGGTATAATGTGATCTGTTAAACACTCACTGTGTTGCTTTCTTAGTGATATTTACAAGGTTCGCTTGTCCTGACATCTAACATAGCCATGAGGTCAGACCCCCAGGAACAATTTGCTCGGTGTGGGCCACCCGCCTGCCTCTTTTTCTCCTGTTTCCCTCGGGTGACCTCTGTAAGCACAAAACCAGCCTTGACTGAGGGCATCTCAGG